TATTTATGTTTTTATTGGTTTTAAATTGTTTGGTTGTGAACTGCCCAGAGTCCCTCCTTGTATTTGATTTATAAATCAATAAAATAAATATAAACAGGGAATTTAACCTGGGTGTGAATAAAGCCCAATTAACAGGTTGGTAGGAGTAGGTTCGTGTCTTTTGCTAAGTTAAACACTTGGACAAACCTCACAGTGGCCAGGGTGGTACACAAGCCAGTCTCTGTTGCAGTTGCCATTGTAATTTTGGGAAATTTTGCAAAAGCTGCTTAGAAATATTCATTACTTAAAAGGCCCTCAGCTGGAACCTATAGGATGCACCCCTTTTAAATACCACTAATGCCCTGCAAGGTAGGCCATTTGGACTTAGGGATTAACAATCCTGATGCCATAGCGTGTGAGTTTTCAAATGGCCATGTTTGTGCTTCAAAAGAAATAAGAGAGAGAAAACAGGGAAGGCCAAATTAAAATAAATTTGCGGGATAAATAATTTAAACACAACAGTAACTTGAGCACTTGGTGTCAATTCCCTAATTTATCTAGGGCAGTGCTTCCCAACCTTGGGCACTTTAAGACATGCTGGCTGGGGAATTCTGGGAGTGGAAGTCCACACGTCTTAAAGTGCCCAAGGTTGGGAAACACTGCTTTAGGGCCCGGTAGCTATTCTCTTTTTATTTTTAGGGCAAATTTCATGGCTTCTCTCTCTCTTTTCTTTGAATCCCTCTCCAGGAACCCCGAGTGTCGCTATTTAGCCAGTTCTTCCAAAGACGGCAGCGTTCGAATCTGGGACACGGTCGCTGGCCGCTGTGACAAAATCCTCACCAGCCACACTCAGTCGGTCACCTGTCTCCGGTGGGGAGGCGACGGTTTGCTATACTCCTCCTCGCAGGATCGGACCATCAAAGTCTGGAGGGCCCAGGATGTGAGTCGCCCAGAGTCATGGGGAGTCGGGCAGCGTATGCATTTCATGAATACAATAAAAAATCAGTTGGCACCATTTTTTCTTTTCCCACGCCTGTGTGTTGTCCTCCTCTGGGTGTGTGGCTCCTTGATAGGTTGTGTGGCTCAGCCACTGCAGTTTGTAAACCAGGATTTGATTCAGATTTTTTATCCCGCCTTTATGATATTTATAAATAAGGCGGCAGATGTACCTAATACTCCTTCCTTCTCCTCTTTTCGCCACAACAACAACCCTGTGAGGTGGGCTGGGCCGAGAGACAGGGACTGGCCCAAAGTCACCTGTTAATCTGACTGGGGGAACCCAACTAATATAGGCTGGGTTTATAAACCCTGGTTAAGACACCATGGTTGAGCCCCAGGTATGAACTCCACTGCCTTGAGGTTTTTTTAATATCCTTTTTTTCATTTTTAACGGCTTT